TAAATCTTCTAAATTAAGAATAATTAAAACATAAAGAAATAGAATAATTTGGTTATATTCAATTTTTAATTTGCTGTTAATATTTTGGCGGTACCTACTCAATTTTGATTTAAAATTTTAATTTGCTTTATGTAAATCAGCTCTTAATTTTTCCCCATCATACTTTTTATTTTATTTTCTGTCCTATAAATGATTTATATGATTTTTTTGAATGCTTCACAACCAATGTCTTAGTTAGAGAATAAAAAATATAATTTATTTGATCTGCTAGTGTTTGAATTTCAATTTGAATTAGAGGAAAATTGCTGCATTGACCAGGTTTTCAACCCTGGACCTACCTGCTGGAAGCAAGATCTTATGTCACTGCACTACTACGTCTCTAGGCATTAACTCTGCTCTGATACATTATAAAAAAAAATAAAAAAAAAATTTTTTGCGTTTCTATAACGTTTTATGCACTTTTCTAAATCTCTTAAACTCCTATGAGTGCATTTTAATTTCTTTTCTTATAAAGAAAACGATCTTTGACCTGTGGTAAATAGTTATTAAGAAAATTCCTGGTAAGAACAAAAACAATCAAAATATTAATTCAACTTCTAAACTATCAAGAATTTTGCAATTTTTTCGAAGGCAAAACATTTTACATAGGTATAGTACAAAACCTAACTGTTTTCAATGCACTTACAGCGGAATTAACAAAATAATATAGTGACAATTTTTTAACATATCCTTATACAAAATTTATACAACATTGAGCGTGTTTTTTGCACTAGACGTGCACGTCGTATGTAAAAAACAGCCATTTTGCATCGTGTTTTCTAATTTGGGTGTGAAAAGCATAGGCATCAAATTCGAATTTTAAATCTGTGATTTCAATAATTTTCCAAAATCACGGATCGTTGCTATGAAAATAGTGTTATTTGTTATCTTTATGTCACACTTTTTAAAACTATGTAGTGATAAAATAATGTCATATGTTATAACTAGTGATAAAATTAAGCACATTTGACAACTAAAATGACATATTGTCAATGGTTGCATTTCACAACTAAATTGGAAAAATGGCTTTTTTGAATTAATGGTAGGTATGTTATAATCATTTATGTTTAAGGCAGAGTTTACATTATTTATTTAGATTTTATATAGCAGTCTATTTCGCTGAGTAATTTTCAATTTTATAAATTATGGTATAATTGAATTTAAAAAAAATGTTATTTTTTTATTTTATTACACGATTAGCAAACCGTTTGAATGGTGATGAGTTTTTAAATAAAAAAATCAATTATTTCAATCATTTTATTAAAAAAGTAAATTTCATTTTATTACAAAAATAAATAACATTGTGGTATTATGGCATCGAAAGTCTTCATTTAGTGGTGAGAGTGTTGTGGATGGGCAGCATGTCCTTGTCTTTGAACCACAGCATTGAAYCCAGTTTTCTTCGHAGCAGTGTAGTGAACCACCAAGATGGTACCATCAGGTTCGTGGAGAGAATAAGAACCCTTGACTACGTCCCCATCTCTGGTCTCTTCATGCGATTTAATATCGCCGGTGTGTTTGTCTTCAACTCCGTATTTGAATTCGTATTTGGGATGGGCCTAAACAAAAACTTAAATAAAATTTTATCAAAGCAAAAAATGAGGTACTCACATAGTGGTGTTCTTCGTGRTGGCTTGGGGCACTGTGGACAAGAACCGGAGCGGCGTGGCTTAGAGATAATCCGGAAGAACTTCCGTAACTTCCAAGTCCTAAAGAACTTCCTTGAGTGTAGGAAACATACGAATTGGCATGCCCTTGATGGTGTCCTTGAGCTTGGACGTACGCAGCTAAAAGGGCAAATCCGAAAACCTAAAATTGTGCACATTTAAGTAAAATTATTTTTGATTTATTTTTTAGAAATATTACTTTAGTAAACATGTTTCTGATTGAGAGGAATGTTTTGGAATGATTTACAAACGGCACTAAAGTGTCTTTTATACTTGTCACATAATACATTCACTAATAAAATTTAGATAACATAAAAATTATATAATTGTGACAATATGCGGATTCGGTAGTCATACATATTTATATAATAATCATAAAACACGCAAATATAGAGCACGTTTCGAAAAAAAAAACTGTTAACATAACTTAAACCTAACTGAATTCGGACATTTTAATAAATTAATAATTCATTAAGTTATTAAAAGAAACAAATTTATTATTAATTGGTTCGTTTGTGTGTGTTTATTTAATAATACTGATGATCTTGTATATGTTTTTTTTTTATAATTATTTAGTAAAGCTACAAAAATTTTGTCAATAAAAACCACAAGTACCATTAAACAGTTACAATTTAGGATATAGCTTTCTTTTTTCCTCGTCTAATAGCTTGTAGCAAAAAAACTTGGAAAATTATTTTTCTAACAGAAATAAATTGAGTTTAAACTCTCATAACTTCGAATTTTTTATAGATAGAATTTTTTTAACATTTTTTTCATGTTCCTAGTATCTTTACCTTACTTGGTATTTTTCTCTGGGGCGCCAGTTCTAGCGCGACCTGTATAGATTTAATATTTTACAACATTAAGAATTAGAGAATTCTTTAGAATACCTGTGAATTATTTGGATACAAATATCCTAAAAAAGTGGTTAATGCATAAATTTAAAAGATTAGAATTTTTATGTAAAAATAAACTTAATTAATTAGTTTTATAAGTAGGAATGTGGCTACTTTGAAATTATAACAGTCTGAAAACAATAAACTTTAATATGTTTGTAAAAAAGTCGCTTCTAATAAAAACTTGAAAATTTAGCATTTTTTATAAATTTTTTCTCACTGTGAACATATTGAGATACAAATTAAATACCTAAATATAAATTAAAATTAAAAATGATAAATGAAAAGCACATTTTTATTTCCAGGATCGAGCTATTTTGTCATTGGAAGTAAGCAGATGCGTAAAAATTGGGTGAGGATTTTTTTTCAATAAAGTATTTTTTGGGGAAAGTGAAAATATACATTTTTTCTTCCAGCGAAGTAAATTATTTCTTCTCTCAAAAACTTCATTGTCTAAAGTGATCTTTATTATTAGAAAAAATTATACTTATATGAAACAAGAAGAAAGGTTTTATTCTTTGAAAAAAAAGAGACTTATTTCTTATTAAAAAAAAAAATAAGTTAAATTATTTTTGAGTCACTTTGACCAAAAATTCAATTCAGGATTTTTTGTTTGTTAATAAATTAATATACAGGGTGCGCCAGAACACGCGCCCCAGAGAAAAATGTCAAGTGCCGGAGGCAATGGGTCGCCACAAAGTGCAGCCGAAGAAGTAACTTTTGTTTGCATAAGAAAGTTATTAGACCCTTAATTCCGCCAACCCCAGAAGGGCACCTCAGGGTGGGATCGAAAAATTATATTTGTTGCTGGGTTACAAAAATAATACCAATTTGCCTAGAATCTTCAATAAATAGTTGGTCTACTGTAATTTTCAAATCTGTCATGTGTTGACATAACACGCTATTTTGGAATATTTTTCTCCCCGAAGAGGTTGTACACGAGTGTAATGGTTTGAATTTGTGTTAGATGTCAATTGTGTGGTTTAAGTTTTAACCATGTAATTAGCCGCTGATTATTTGGAGATAATAACCATTTTTGGGAAGTGTTGGCGTAACGCCAGGRAGGCAGCTAGGATATTTTCCGGACGTTTTCCTGACAAAAATCGCCCATGCTATAAGGTCACATTGAAGGCCATTGCCAGGGTCAAGTTCTTCCAAACCGAAAAGAAATTAGAGATGTTCTCAGAACGGCGCGCATAGTTGAAAATGAGAAAGCTTTTCTTGATTTTTTAAGATAGCACTAAGTAGATGCATCAGAGAAGTTGTAGTCATTATAACTGACATACTCGTATTAGGACAGAGGAAATTTYAAATGCTTTGTTTCCGAGGGCATTTCAGMAATGATTTTCAGTAAATTTGTGGACTGACTGARAATATTCCAAATGCTTTTTTTCCGGGAGCATTTCAGCAATGATTTTCAGTAAATTTGTGGACTGTTTAATTTCARTATCAATATTGCAATACCYTTGTGAATCGTTTAATGAAAAAGAAAGCAAGGGGTCTTAGTRCAATGTGTTTTTTAGATTACAATTACACTACCGAACAAAAATACCGTGGTAAATCTACAATTATGAGAGTAAAAATTATCCTAACATGTTTTGTTCAAGCACAAATTCTTATAAAAAGTACATTTTTCTGTTAGTTTTGCAATAAAGTAAAGAAACTGGCGTACATTTTTGTCTTTCTGGTTAATCTAACTCGCATTAGTTTTCGGCTTGTTGTCTGTGTCATATCGAAGAAAAAGTTAAGGAGGAACAATGCTTCTGAAGAAAACATCCAAAAGTATTAAAATAGTTGTTGGTTCATCGCAATGGAAATCGAGTTTTCAAAAATTTTCAACGATTTCGTCTCATTATACTTGTGCACAGCATCTTCAGCGAGAAAAATATTCGAAAATAGTATGTTATGTCAAAAACATGACAGACAATTACAGTAATCCAGCTATTTTTTAAAATTCTGGGCAAAATGGTATTATTTTTGTAACCTAGCAACGGATATAATTTTCCAATCACACCCTGAGGTGCCCTTCTGGGATTGGTGGAATTAAGAGTCTCTCAATTTTCTTATGCAAGCAAAAGTTACTTCTTCAGCTGCACTTTTTGGCGACCCATTGCCGCCGGCATTTGACATTTTTCTCTGGGGCGCGAGTTCTGGCGCACCCTGTAGACTCAAATGCGAAAAAGATTTCGAATTTTGTGAAACTAATTTTACAAAGATATAAGACTAACATTTTTATTATTGTGCATATTAGAAGACGGCAAATAATTAAAAAAATAAAATTTATTTATTTAAAAAATACAACAATGCATCTTGGTAAAATAACAATTAAATCTAGTGGTGAGAAGAGTGTTGAGGATGGGCAGCGTGTCCTTTTCTTTCAACGACGGCATTAAATCCGCTCTTCTTATCAACAGTGTAGTGAACAGTCAAGATGGTACCATCAGGTTCGTGAAGAGAATATTGTCCTTTAACAACATCACCATCGCGACTTTCTTCATGTTGTTTAATGTCTCCGGTATGTTTGTCTTCAACACCGTATTTGAAATGATACTTTGGGTGGGTCTAAAAATCGAAATGAAGAAAAAATTATAAAAATATTTGTGGTGACTTACGTGGTGCTCTTCGTGGCTGCTGTACTCTTCACTACTGGAACCACCACCAATATTTTCTTGGATGTGACTAATGTAGGAAGAACCAGAAGATTGTTTAGAGGAACCGGAGCTGGAGTAAGAACCACTAAGAGAAGAACCAGAGTTGCCTTGGCTATAAGAACCACCTAAGGATAATCCTTGGCCGTAAGAAATGTAAGAAGAACCACTTGTTTTACCAGATGAACCAGAAGATTGAGAAGAGCCAAGAGATAATCCTCCACCAAGACTTCCTTGGCTGTACGAAGAACCACTTGATTTACCAGACAAACCTTGACTGTAAGAACCAGGAGATTGAGAAGAACCAAGAGATAATCCCCCACTCAGGCCTCCTTGGCTGTAAGAAATGTACGAAGAACCACTTGATTTACCAGAAGAACCCTGATCATAGGAACCAGAAGATTGGGAAGAACCAAGAGATAATCCTTTACCAAGGTCTCCTTGGCTGTAAGAAATGTACGAAGAACCACTTAATTTAGCAGAAGCACCCTGACCATAGGAACCAGAAGATTGAGAAGAACCAAGAGATGATCCTTCACCAAGGCCTCCGTGACTGTAAGAAATGTACGAAGAACCACTTGATTTACCAGAAGAACCCTGACTATAGGAACCAGAAGATTGAGAAGAACCAAGAGATAATCCTTCACCAATGCCCCCTTGACTGTAAGAAATGTACGAAGAACCACTTGATTTACCAGAAGAACCCTGATCATAGGAACCAAAAGATTGAGAAGAACCAAGAGATGATCCTTCACTAAGACCTCCTTGGCTGTAATAAGTGTACGAAGAACCACTTGATTTACCAGATGAACCTTGACTGTGGGAACCAGAAGACTGAGAAGATCCAAGAGACAATCCTCCACTAAGACCTTCTTGGCTCTGAGAACTGTATAAGGAACTTCCAAGGTCTCCAAGACTGAGACTTTCTTGGCTGTAGGAACCACTCGATTGTGAAGAACCACCAAGAGATCCTTCACTTAAACTTTCATATCCGTTAGAACCACTAGATCCTGAAGAGCCACCGGGATTTTCTTGACTGTATGAGATATAAGAAGAACCACTTGATTTAGCAGAACCTCCAGTACTTGTAGAAGTGTATAAGGAACTTCCAAGACTTCCGGAACCACCACCAGTGGTACCTCTAAGACTACTTTCTTTACTTGGAGGAAGGTACTTGTAACCACTGAATCCGGAACTTAGTTGTTCACCATAGATGGATGCTTGACAAGCACCAAAAAGTGCCAAAATAAAAACCTGAAAATAATTAAATAAATTTCACTTTAATTAAAGTTGCAATTTCTTACTTTTGAAAACATTTCTTCTTTGGTTCTGCTGTCTAGTCTTTATTGATCAAAATATCGCACCGAACTGATTTAAGTCGTTTGCAAAAGTAGCTTTTATACTTGTATAATTTTTACGTTCACTCAACGCTCTAATATTTAGATAATATAATTATTTAATTGATAACAATTGCATAAGAGTGGTGTGTGGACCTTTGGGTGGTGAAAAGCAAAAGAAACAAGAGAGTTTTACGTAATTTTAGAACACTTAATGTATTGAAAATATTCCGTATAATTCTTAATTGATCAAGGTCAATGGCAGTGAAACTATGACATAATGAAAACATCAATTAAGTTTAGCACCGGTGATAAAAAATTATTACGTCTAAATGCAAAAAAGATGGCATAGTTTCTCAAAAAATTCCATCTCATGATCAGGCTTTTTGAGATGACTTCTCAAAATACGTAAACAGTAACTCAACATTTTTTATTTAAGACCAAGTTTTAAAAAAGAAACTCTTCGTTGTACTAACTAATACTAAAACAATAAAAGAATAAAATACAAAACAAGAATTTTATTACAGCCTCATTTTTTAATTCCAGTCTTGAAAAACCTGTAAAATTAAACATTATAGATTAAATGACGTTTTTGCACTTTTTGGGTTGCTTGAGACTTGTTCGAAAAAATCAAATTTTTTGAAATTTTTAAAAAGTAAAAATGTTTGTTCAACTTTCGGTCGCCAAAATATGGCTTCCTAGACATAAAATTACATGTCAAACATGATGAGACAAGTTAAAATTCTTTACGACGACTAGTTTTCAGAATATCCAAATATTATGAAAATTTTGAAGTGCTGAGTGAAATTATAAGTTTTTTTGAACATCCGGAAATTACCCGAAGCGCTTTCAAATTGTCAACATGTTATTTTTCAGAGAATTTGCCTACGCAAACCGCTTTTGTCTAAAAAGGTGACTTTGGGAGTTATGATTTTTTTAATTTAAAATGTCAAAAAATTTTCGATGGATTTTGGGTTTTTATAATTTCATTGATAATTAAAAGCAAAATGTAATAGTATTATTAATTGTCTCGTGGAACGTTTAATTTTTAAGAAAAATGTATTTAAGGTTCCAAAAAATGTTTTTTGTTACTTTTCAATCTAATATCACCAGAAAATTGGATTATTCAAATAAAACTCCTAATAAAAAAAGGAAAATTTAAGAACATTCAATATTGGTCTAAATGATGTTTTTTTCGACTTTTTAAAAAAGAAAAACATTTAAACAATAAATTTTTATTAATTAATAAGAAAATAAATATACAACAAATCTAAAAATCATATAAAATAATTAGTAGTGATGTCTGAAATGCTGCGGATGTTTGGCGTGTCCTTCTTTGTGAACCACCGCGTTGAACCCACTATGCTTATCAGCAGTGTAATGAACCGTCAAAATAGTACCATCGGGTTCATGCACCGAATATGAACCCTTAACCACATCCCCATCTCTACTCTCTTCCTGCGACTTAATATCACCCGTGTGGTGATCCACAACCCCATATTTAAACTGGTACTTGGGGTGGTGCTAAAATCATCAACATGGTACAAATTTCTTAAAAAAGACAAATGTACATACATAGTTTCCCAGATTAAGGGCATATCCTCCCCCAAGGCCTCCCAAAGTCAACCCATGACTATACGAGACAAACGAAGAAGCGTGACCTTGCCCCTGGACAGCCACAGCAAAGACCACCACACCCAGAATCTTGAACATTTTACTCGAGAGAAGTCTTCAAACTGCTTTTGTGATTGTGGAAATTCGTCTTTTATACTCCACACTGCTAATTCTTTAAATAACGGAATTTTTGTTGGGCTTTATGTAAGTCTGTTGATATAATTTGAAGAAAAATGTCTCATTGAAGACATTGTTAAGTGTGATAATTGAGCGGATTTGGAGACCCGCGGCTGCAAATTTCACTTTTAAACCGCACACCGGAATGGTAATTGAGGTAATTTCAATTAAAAACTACTCAAATTGGAAAAAATGTAAATGTGGAAGTGTTAAACGGACGAGAATTATGGAAGTGTATCAGATTGCGAATTGCGCAATGGTTTCGTAATGGCCCACATTGAATGTGTTTTGCTCCGCTATACCAATCTTCACAAATTAATTTATTCATTTATCCATTAAATGAAAAAATAAAAATTTAATTAAAAAATTATTATAGAGGGTGTCCGGAATGTCGCGCACCTCCTTGAAAGGGAGTAATTGGGTAGTCCTCCAGAGTACTAAAAAAATGCTTAAGAAATTCAAAAAATTTTGACATTTATTTTTTGACATTTGACATTTTTTTATTTAGGATACAGCTTCGTTATTTCCTCTTATAATAAATAGCCTGTCGTTGAAAAATTTGGAAAATTATTTTTCCAACAGAAATAAATAGAGTTAAAGTGGAAAATTTTAACTCTCATAACTTCGAAATTTTTATAGATAGATTTTTTGAACATTTTTTTATTGTCTAGGGCACCGCCCGATCATGCAGGTAATCCTTAATTTTACGGAAAAATCAACTAAAAAATTATTGTATTTGTCATAAACCAACAGAATGTTTAATGCACGAGAGCGGTAGTGTGAGTGCATTAAACTCTACATGTATACAACATTTTTTTCAATAATTTATAATGTCAAAATTCGAACATTTATTCACTAATTTTATTCATTTCTTTAGTTTTTAGATTTTTATTAAGTCACACAATTAAAGATTTGCCACACAAGCCTGTAGGGCGAGTGGAGTACTTTTCTTAAGTAATAACACACGTGTGTCATATAATGTTTTTTCTCAATAAAAAAAAAACTATAGAAATAATAGAAAAAATAAACTTTATTCAACATAACAAACAACATAAACATAACTAATAGTGTGACGCATGACCTTGCCTTATCACTTCAGCATTGAACCCGCTGTGCTTATCAGCGGTGTATTTGACAGTCAGGATAGTACCATCTGGTTCATGAAGCGAGTACTGCCCTTTGACCACATCCCCATCTCTAGTTTCCTCCTGCGATTTAATATCGCCAGTGTGATGGTCCGAAACGCCGTATTTGAACTCGTATTTCGGGTGGTCCTGAAACTTAAAAATTATCACAAAGTACTGTTGACCAAACCCTCACATAATGTTCCTCGTGATGGTTTTCATAATTTTCAGAGCTTTTCAGGAGAATATTGTTGTGTCCATTTAAGTCTAATCCTGAAAATTCTTCATAGTACTGGGCACTCGTGCACACAACTAGAACTAAAACACTGAAAACTTTGAACATTTTCGATCGCGATTCGAATTGCACTGATTTCGCAAATCTAGAACTCGTCTTTTATACTCAAAATAATCCACATTCCGCGCTTATGTTATGTAAATTCGGAAATTCGTTCAAGTGAAGCATGCGAGTTACATAACCGATTTAATTAAGTGTCGATTTAATTAACAATCGATTAGTTAAAACTTGACTCTTGATGCGGTAATGGACTTGGCTTGTAAGCGGTTTAGTTTAATTTATGAGCAAGTTGAGTTGAGTTATGTTTTCGCATTTGCGGATGTACTCACCAAAATAGTAAGTTTTATGTTGAAAATTTCTTTTTCCATCCTTGACGAGTCGACTGAGAAGCCCTATAGAGATGTGCTGTAACTATGGTGACAAAATAAAATTGCCATTGAAATTGTGGTAAAACCAGTGGCGGGTATATATTTTTTTATGGGAAAAACAGTCTAAGAAATGTATTATTTATTTTCGTTGTTGTTTATATACAAATAGTACAAAAATAGGATTTTTTAGTGATGTCCATAAGCCACCGACTCATGTCCCGACTTGTGCACCACCGCTTTGAACCCATGATGGGGGTCAGCGGTGTATTCCACGGTCCGGATCGACCCATCGGGCTCCACCAGCGAGTACTGTCCCTTGACCACGTCCCCATCTCTCACCTCATGCTGCGTTTTTTTATCTCCGGTGTGCAAATCCTCAACCCCATATTTAAACTCATATTTGGGCCGAGCCTGAAATTTTAATTACCCAAAATTCAAAAAATTGTAAATAATTCGTACGTAATGCTCCTCGTAGTACTGGGGTTGGTGGGCTACTGGGGCGAAACCGCCCCCATAATGTTGGGACAAGGGGGCGGCGGGGGCGGCAAAGCCGGCCCGGTGGTGGGCTACTGTCGAGTAGGAGCTTGAAAATCCGCCGTAGTGTCCGTAAACCGGCGCGTGGTGTGTTGTATATCCGATGTTGGACACCGCCCCGTGGCCCCCCAGATACCCCGCCTCTGCTAAAACCACCCCGCAGATAACAAAACACAATCGCAACATTATTGAACGGTAGTTTCACACTCGACTGATGATCCCCCAGCCGCCTTAGCATCTTTTATACGTGAAGATGGCACAAAAGATCCGATTCTCATATCGCAATATTTTAATAATTGAAACCTACACGCCGGAATTATGTCACCGGCATGAGAAAAGCCTAAAATGGTGAGAATCACTTAGACGAAAACGACGGTAATTGCATGCGTTTTATATAATATGCACTGGAATAAATGATAGCGAGGAATTAATTAGTTGTGAAATGGACGCTGTCGAATTTTTACGGACTAGTTTTGTAATTAGGGAATTTTTCAAGCGAGATTCGAGATTTTTGTTGCAACGGCATGAATATTCAGCGAGTGCAAGATTGGAACGATATTGGAAATTATTGAGGAAGGTGGGAGCTTTCACTTGGAGTTGTTAGATAATGGAGGTCAATGTTGGCCTGCATCTAGTTATTGTTTTTGATTCAATTTCATGTTATCAAAGTAGGAATTTCAATACAGATTTAACTAATTTTATTTTTAGTTTTCGAATTATTGATTTTCGATAATTCAGACTTCCGGAACGTCGCAAAATTGACAAAATCTGGCTGATTTGCTACAATTTTAACTTTTTAAACCACGATTACGAAAAAACTGTTAGACCTAGAACAAAAAACCCAAAAAAAACTAACGTGAAAACCATCATGAAAAAAATCTATGAATCTAAGCCAATGAATACCAAGTCAGTATCTGGCAAAAAAATTGAATTTTAAGAGTTAATTACGACAAAACTTTAAGAGCTAGAACAAACAAAAAGCTTTACAGATTTGTAAAATGTTTTAGGTAATGGATTGACGTTAAGAAAAATGTAAAATTGAAAATACATATGTAGTTTAGAAGTTATAGTCGTATCTATACAGAGTGCGCCAGAACTCGCGCCCCAGAGAAAAATGCCATATAAGGTAAGATACCAGGTACATGGAAAAATGTTTAAAAAATTTTATCTATAAAAATTTCGAAGTTATGAGAGTTTAAAGTTTGCACTTTGACTCTATTTATTTCTGTTGGAGAAATAATTTTACACGTTTTTTTGCTACAGGCAATTAGAAGCAGAAACAAGGAAGCTGTATCCTAACTGTCCTGTAACTCTGTTTAATGTTATTTGTGGCTTTTATTGGCAAAATTTTTGTACCTTTATTAAATAATTGTAAAAAAAACATATACAGGATCATCAGTATCATTAAAAAGGCATAAAAAAATGTCAAATGTAAAAAAATAAATGTCAAAATTTTTTGACAGAATTTTTTAAACATTTTTTTCATGTTCCTGGTATCTTACCTTCCTTGAAAATTTTCTCTGGGGCGCGAGTTCTGGCGCACCTGTATATTTTGGATATTTTGACTTTATACCAAATTTCTCGATAACTTTTTTTATATGATAAAAAATAAAATTTGCTTTTTTCCAGCGGTGCTTAACATAAAAAAGCTAGAGCCAATAATTCCGGAGTTATTAGCAATAGACCGGGTACCGAAAATCCACTAAAATTATGTCAAAAATTTAAAAATTGCGAAGTTTAAAATTGATTGAAATGCATTTTCAGGGGCCTAAAAATGCATAAAACGTTGAGGACACACAGAAATATTATTATTTAATCTAATACAAATATTTATACAAAGTTTTTCATCTCAGCCCCGGTCTTCTGTAGCTCAGTTATTATTTAAGTAGGATCTTTAATATTTTGTAGACTTTATTTATATTCTAAGCGCATTTCAGGAAAATATATTTGATTATACAGGTGTTCCAAAAATAAGTTACAATACAAACTTATGTTTTTTTTAAATGAAACACCATATGTTTTTTGTAGCTTTTAATTTCAATATTTTTAAGATAAACTTCTATTTTGCTTAGTTTTTGAATTAAGTTGGTTTTTTTTGGCGAAAACATCCTTTTTTTTAATTTATTACACAAAAAGTTAAGACAGCTGGAAAAAAAAATTACCACTATAAAGAGGAAGTACGAACTTTAAGACTATAACATTTTTTTAATGTGATGCAGTCGAAAAGTTAAATAAAATGTCGAAGTTTGTCAAAAGTTAAATAACTTAAAAAATTTAAATGAAACACCCTATTTTTTGTTTTACTTATGTAAAATATTCCGGGAAGTCAATTAGCGTCAAGAGATCTGCAAAATTCTCAATGATTTCTAAGTTATAGTTCAGTATAGATTTTAACTCTTTACCAATTTTCTCGATAACTATTTGTCGCAGAACAATGAACATTTTTTTTATAAGACAGAGAATTAAAACTGCTTTTCAACACTACTAAACACAAGCGGGTTATTTATAATAATTTCGGAGTCATTTTAACTAATAACCGAAAATTGACCAGAATTTTGAAAAAAAATGAAAAGTTTAAAATATAACCCAATGCATTCCCATTGGCCAAAGAGACACAAAAAGTACATAAAATGTTTTAGAAACGAAAAATAAATTGTTGAAAATTTTTGTGCAAGTCGATTGCGGTTTTTGTTTTAGACTTGTTGTTTTTAGTTTTTTAAGGTTTTTTTACATTTTTGTTATACCGCGTTAAACATTTTGAAAGAATTGTCAATCAATTTTAAATTTTAAAGCACTAACAATTATAAAATAGTACAAACTTTATTTATAAAAATAAATATACGTAAAAGTATAAAAACATTTCCATCAGAAACAAGTACAATCAACAGTCAATCCACTAATCAATGGTGATAGTAGGCAGGAGCGGCGACTACAGCTTTCCCATAAACAGCAGGATGGGCAGCGTGTCCTTGTCTCTCAACAACAGCATTGAACCCATTGTGGTGGTCAGCAGTGTAATGCACAGTACGGATGGTACCATCAGGCTCAACCAAGGAATATGAACCTTTAACTACATCCCCATCTCTAACCTCATGCTGACTCTTCTGGTCACCAGTGTGAGCATCCTTGACTCCGTAGTTGAATTCGTATTTGGGATAAGCCTGAAAAATTATTGATCAGAATTCCTTGTTTTTTTGATTAATTTTTTTTTCATTATTTTATTTCGTTCAATGTTTTCTAACAAAAATTGTTAGTCACTCAATAAAATGGACATACGTAGTAGTCGACGGCGTGTCCGTGGGCGGGGGCGGCGTGTGTGATAACAGGGGCGGCGTGAGCAATGACGGGGGCGGCGTGTGCGAGCACGGGGGCGGCGAAGTGGCCGCTGCTGTAAGAGGTGGCGTGTCCGTGCAAGACGTCGGAGATAAGAGCGTTGGAGACGGCAAGCAAGGCCGAAATGGCAACTACCTGAAACACCGCTGAAATCACCTGAAAACACTCCACTCGAGCTCACCTTAGCGAACATGTCTGAAAGTGATGAAGCGAGAACCAATTTGATACTGAAGCTGGAACCGGCTGGTCCCGCTTTTATACTTTGCCTAAAACGTTCACTAACAATGAGAATCGTAACACTCTGGACTATGTGAGATATCGTAATATCGAAAGTATTAATTTATTGACCTATTTTTTCGGCACGAGACTCAAGTAATTGATTTTTTGAAGAGTGCAGGTGTGTGGTTTTAAATGATAAACGACAATTTCAATGAGAGTAATTGAAAGATAATTAAGAGAAATGGCAAAAGTCGGCAATTAATTAGAAACAAATGTGGGTTCGTCGCTTAAACACGCATTAAAATCTACGACAAAAACATATTTTAACAACAAAAATCATTTCAATTTTGTTAGTTTCGTCGCCTCTCCTTGAGTTGAAATCTCTCCAAAAAATTTAACAAGATGCATCATTGTTATCCCAATTAATTTGCAACATCCATGCAATTATCCTCTGTCGAAACACCCACTTTAACATTCCCAGATCAAATTACCAAACCCATTTTACCCACATCGACCCATAAATACCAATAACGACATTTTTGTAATCACTTGAAATAAATTTGTTTCAGAGCTTTAACAAGCGACTAACTCTAAATTCAGCAGATGCTGAAATTCTACCGTTTTTGCAACATTTTTGCGAGTACTCTTGCGTTACGACGTTACAGTCGAGTAACCCTTTGTAGCCACGGGTTTACACTCAGGGTGAAGGTTTGTAGCAAAATCTTCAATTTAAATAAAACACTAGAAACTTAGACAATACGTAATCTGAAAGTACACTCGTAAATGACCCACATTATGCAGAAAAGGAAACATAAAAAATGTAGGTAATTTAATAATTATTCAGTTTTTTATTTTTTCAGCTATGCGATTGACCAATGTGACACAATTTCAAGCTTCATTTTAGTTGAGAAAGAAGAAATTCTTAAGAGCAATTAATTAATTAGTATACGGAGTGATTCGTCAAAATGCACCCAATGAAATGTCATTGCAATAAATTAGAATTTAGTCATTTTTTCACCGTTGCAATAATCGAATTTTTCTTGCACAATTTCATTAGAATAAATTCCTGCTGATTATTAGAACGTTACTTGCAATTTAGGCGTCTGCGACAATTTTCGAGTCATAATAACGTAACATAATTATGTTATTAGTCACGCCGTCTAACTCCTGCGATAAATTAAAGGAAGACAAGTTTACTTTCGTCAGCGATTTAATTAATTAACACATTTTTTATTATTAGTGGCGCTCACACTCTGAAATTTTTTGAAGACATTATTATAATTGAGTGAAACGATGATGGCGCAAGAGCCGTCACTTGACTCTGACCAAAGATTTATGATTCTTGCAGGAAAAATTATGTTTGTGTTTAATATAAAACAAGTGTAATGGAAATTCCTGCAGGCTATGTTTGTATAATATCGTGCGATCTAGATAAAAATAACTGTTATTGTTGTGATTGTAAATCACATATAATTATGCTTAAAGCACTTTCTTTGTCTATAGAGAGTAAAATTTTAAATGGGTTCGTCGCTTATTGCTTACAGAGCGTTTAAGTCTCCACATAAAGAGCACAAAAGCAAATTTCTCAAGCAGCAAATTAATTTAAAATTGAAACACATGTAAAATAAAACATTTGATATTAATTTCAGGAAAAATAAGAACCGCAAAACCACAGGCGGCACTTGCAGGAACTGTTATATATGTATGTGGGTAACTCAATAAAACTAGAGAAATCATTGTTAATAACTTTGGTAAGAATATTAACACTATCTTTGTTATGACTGCAAGCTGTTTTGATCCATTTTGCATAAAGACTTCGATAGTAGGTCATGAAAGAAACGCACTTTTCAGTGTCGGACAAAGTTTTATTAAAACGCAAATATTTTACAAAATCGTGACCTACAAATCTAGAAGGCCGGTATTATATAATTATTACGAAATTACGAAAAAATATCAATTAGAAATAAAGAATGAATTTGATATGCAGTCTATGTGGGTGTGTAGGTAAAAACTTTCAGTTTTTAGTAAATTAACGATTTTTATCCAAATAACGTTTAATTTGTGTAATAAAACAAAAGATTCTTATAAAATGTCCACATCAAAGTGGGTAAATGTTTTGCAACACAATAATAAAAAAATAATTAAAGTAGTTTATTTTATTTTTAGCTGTTTCACAACCTGGTAGCAACTTAATGTTGTGTAAATTGTTGATAGAAATTAAATTTGCGCGTTGGTGTTGTAAAAAACAATGTTTTTGTTTGGAGACTTCAATGCTTTGTGTTTATCAAGCGACGAACCCAATGGATTTCAGGAAAAGTTTCAGTGCACTCAGGCCTGAAAGCCAATTAAGCAAACAGCTTGTTGCATAGAAATGCGTCGCTTTATCGTCGGCCGTCCATCCGGAAGTAATACATGCGCGCGAAATGCTCGAGTGAATTTTATTACATGGAAACTGAAATCCTAGTTATGTTTACATAACAGTTATTTAGTTCGAATTGTCCGTCTCACCACACACGTCCATAAACTAACCCGGAAAAAGGACAATTAATATCAACAATATGATAAATATGCGGTTGCGGTTGCCCTAAACTTGTGCAACTTGCAGTCATAACAAGAGGCGTTGAGACTTTAAGTGGGTCAACGAATTTCTTAACGTCCGTCAAGGACGTTAAAATTGTTCAAATTGTTTCCGGTGAAACATGTGTTATATCACGATTAGACCACTACGTGCGTTTCCAGATGGGTGAACAATTGGTGGTGGAGGAAGTGTTGAAAAGACGTTTTGCTCAACAATGCTGGGGTAACCTCCACCACCGATATTTTAATATAAAAGCGCCAAAACACAAGAGACATTCAGTTTAAGTGATAAACATGTACAAAGTGTGTGCTATTATTGCCTGTTTGGTGGCGGCGAGTCAAGCCGGGATCATCGGAGGCGGCTATGAAGGATTAGGGGCCTATGGACATGGACACGCCATTGATTACTACGTACGTAATTTCGTCGCTTAACAAAGCATTGAAATCTCCCAAAATTTGGGGTTCGTCACTTGATCATACAAAAGTTTGGTGAAATCTCCAATAGAAATTTGATTTTTTATTTGCAGGCTTATCCCAAATACGAATTTAAATATGGCGTCGCCGATGGCCACACTGGTGACCATAAGACTCAACACGAAGTCCGCGATGGTGATGTTGTCAAAGGGTCCTACTCGTTGGTAGAACCCGATGGTACGATCAGAACCGTCCATTACACCGCTGATGACCACAATGGGTTCAATGCTGTTGTGAGTCGATCAGGTCATGCTGTCCATCCCACACCGATCGCACTTGGCCATGGCATTCACTATTAATGATCTCCGTAGAGTACCTCATTCGCTCACTTGATTTTATCACTCACTTTCTTTATAAATGCCATATTTATTTTTGTAAATAAATGGATATTCACACATGGTGTTTTATTGAATTCAGAGAAAGGCGACAATACCAAGTTTTAAGTTAGTTTGGGTTAGTCACTTAATTTCTCGTTTAAATCTCCAATTAAAAGTAAAATAGGTAAGCGAAATGGCGTACAAAATGGCAACAACAATAAATAAAAGAGCACAGTGGACGAAATTATTTCAACGCGATATTAAGCGACGCTTAATTAAGATTTCAATGAGTGATCAAGTCACGAAATGCCAAAATTTGAGTGAACTCAATGCAAAATTTGGAGATTTCAACGCGAAATCAAGCGACAAAACTAAGGATAACGTGTTGAAGAGAAATAAGAGTTAGATGAACAGAATGGTATATTTTATGGCTTTACAAAATGAGACAATACTGCACAATACTATGATATTTACATAACCTAGAATTATAAGCAAAGAAGAGAATAAAAATACAAAACTTATCCATCATCAAGCGGTCGTCCTCATCAATTACCCGCAACTAAAAATTAACAATAAATAAGAGCGCAGCAGTTGCGGCTAATCGATTCACATCTCACAGTCACCAGCAGGATTAGCAGGATACATTTTGCACTGAACAAGAACCAAGTCATTCAGTGCAACACAATTAGGACATCCCCTGGATAATTAAAAGAGGTAAAATTGTGGGAAGGTCCTAATTGCATGTATCCTGGACAAAAACCGGTTATCCTTTGAAGTATCCTCCCAGAGCATACGGCGCCGCCACTGCATGCCCATAAACAGGCGCCGCTACTGCGTGTCCATAAACCGGCGCTGCTACAGCAGGAGCTGCAAGGACTTTTGGCGCCACTGCGATGGGAGTTGCAGGATGGACGGCATGGCCTGCTCTAGACACCACAGCGTTGAACCCATTATGATCATCGGCGGTGTAATGAACGGTTCTAATGGTACCATCGGGTTCTACCAACGAATATGAACCCTTGACCACATCACCATCACGGACTTCAGTTTGAGTTTTTTGGTCGCCAGTATGGCCGTCCGCGACGCCATATTTAAACTCGTATTTAGGATAAGCCTGAAAGATCGTCGCTTGAACTAGCGTTGAAATCTCCACGTTTTTGGGACTTACCACGTAATCTACAGATGGTGCAGCTTTTACGTACGCAGGAGCAGCCGCTACTGGGGCTTTCAGGAATGAAGGGCCGTATAGAGCAGGAGCTGGGGCTAGAGCAGGAGCTAGAGCCGGCCCTAGAGCCACACCATGAGTAGAAATTGCTGGAACAAGACCTGCTTGCGAGTACGCCACCAGCGAGGCAATTGTCACAATCTGAAAAAAATCCTGCTATTTATGAATGAAATTTCAGTTAATGAACATAAACAATTTCATTGCTAATTGCAGTGTTGGCATTTCTGACCTACGCCAAGTCGCCTTTTCTTACATAAAGCGGTAATTGGAGGCAATGACTTTGTCACAGTTGAATAAATTAAGGGCCTACCTTGATAAACATGATGTAACAGCACTGCACACGACGAAGAATCCAACTGCACTAATCCTGCAAGCGACTTATGATCTTTTATACATCCCAGCACCCTGAAATGCAACGTTCACCCGCTGTCAGAAAAAAGCGACAAAATCGTAAAAATTACGGTCGAAAGTGCATACACGTAAATTGGTAGCAAGGTCGTTAGTGCACTAGAGGTGGATGGGTGTGTCTTCGGACTCGTGCCCACTTGTGACTTTCCCATTGTGTTGCAATTGGAGACATTTTTTTGCAGAGATTTCAAGCCACGAAATTGGAGAGTTCAATGAGAGATCAAGTGCCGAAATTTTGAGTGATTTCAACGCAAAATCAAGCAACGAAACGGAGATTTCAACGATCGATCAAAATGGTAAAATATTTTTCCATTTGATGGAACGCTGAAAGGTTTAATTGGGATAGCGTGCCGGTAATTGCGGGTTATTAGTAGGTTTTAACACGGATGGGCTAGTAGAACAATACCGAAATTAAATGCAAGATTGTTCTTCTTAATAACTTGCTAATAATAAATTCTAATATTGTGGTAATTACGTTATGCAAGAGATCAGTAGGTTATGTTATGAATTAATCGGAGATTAAAATCTCGTATTTCATGCTTGTAAGCAAGCGCTAGAAAAAATGCTGCAGCTTGTCACGTGTTTGTTCTAATCAAATTGAAATAAACTAGCTAGCGGTGTCAAAAAGTCACTTTTACTTTCTTTCATTTGTTTGTAAACAAATGAGGCGTCAAATAAAATTTTCGAAATGACAGAATTAGAAATATGTGGCGCAATGCTAAATTAAACGTTTGTGTGGTCAACGCCATAATTCACAGGGACCTAGATCTGTGCAACTTGGCGTACGATAAAAACAGCTCTTATTACGATTATAAACAGCGCTAAAACTATAAATTTTCAATTTTTGTAAACCATAATAGAACCACACCCAACAGGGTCTGAAAAATTCCAACTGGTTCTAAATATTACAAAACGTTGCAGGAAATTTAAAATCAGTTGACCAATCAATATCCTAATCCGCTGAAATTTGCAGGAATTTCAGAGGACTACCAGTAACGCACTGAGATGCAGATATGGGTGAAAGCAAGTGTATTGTATAATGGGCACGCCCCAATCCGAATGCAGCGATTGCCGATATTGTGATTTACAAGCTCGAAAAGTAAAGTCGCTCACTATGCTCCAGATACGAGTGTTGATGGACGTCATTGCGTCACCTGAAACGAGACGGTGCTTAGATTTGCCCGACTTGATTAAAACAAACGAAAATTCCTGAAATGCTTCCTGCTGGGGCTTGTGGGAGGACAATTTTGCCTTGACCAGGATTTATTTCAGATTCACAGTGGATTACTCCACCCGCCTAACTAATCGTTGAAGTCTCCTACAATTTCTTTCGTTTCCTGAAACGTAATTTCAGTGTCGTTACGTAAATTCACCGAAATGACCGACGGCTCTCCGGCGGCCTTGTGTGAAATGCGGAGTCGCTGAACTGTTAATAATAGCGTTTTTTGATATATGAGTTTCAGCAAGGCCACTCCGGAACAATACAGTCCGGAAAGGCGCTGTTGTAAGAACGTAACGTAACGGTCCTGCTATTTTATTAATTGCACAATGAAAAATTATAGAGACTTTGATGAAACCTCAAGGGAGACTTTAATGATAAGTGATGAAAGGAAATTTTAGAGATTTCAATGAGTGATCAGGACACGAAATCACACTATGGGTCATTTTAACGACCAGTCAAGCCCTGAAACTGTCAAAATATTTATCCCTGAGGTGTCTCCACCCACGCAACCATGCGTGACTCCACCTTCATGAATTTTATCATTACTTCGACCCACATTTCTAAGTCTAATTAAATTTAGTTACACCTGTTAAAGTTTCTTAACGCGTTTTTTTTTTCAAATATTGTTGCGATAGGAGAATGTTTACTGCTCTTATAATAGTGTCACAATCTAGTACTCTATGAACAATGTAATTATTATCATAGTTATGAGTCAGCAAATCGCATTTTCTGGATATATTAATTGCCGTTAAAGGTAAGTTGAGTGCCTCATTGAATTCAAGTTGGTTCTAATTGAGGGCGTGTTTGTTGTGTAATAGAGGTGTGGGTGGCGTTATATAAAGTGAAATGGTTATAACCGGGCTTACTTCGTGAAAGAACCTCTCAACTTTAACAACTTTATTGAAAATAAAAAAAATAACAAAATAAATTAAGTTTGGTGGTGCCTTAAATGATATTTGGTACCGTGTTTGGATGCATAATTTCTTAATCCTGGAGTTGTAACCGGTTTTTTGTTCGATTTGTAGGTTTGCCGAATCGGTTTAATTGGTCTAAAACCATGTTCCAGTTGAGGTTCGTTGAAAGTTTCAAGCCCGGATTGGTAATACTCCTTCAAAAACTTCCTCAATTCTTCTTGAGTTAACTCACGAGGCATAGAATGTTGACTCAAATCGATTTCAATAGGGTAAAGTTGGCTCACATCAATCGGAACAATATTTTCAGTCGTTTGTTTCACAAAATTTAAATCAACAGGAAGTCGAGTCGTTTTAATCTCTTCCTCCTGGTGGTAGTAAGCCGGTTTGTGGTAATACTTTGCAGGAATTTGGACTTGGTTAACTTTGATCGACTCTTCAGTCTCCGCCTCTTCTTGTGGGACAAAAACGTAATGTTTGATTTTATTATCGTCGAAATTTGTTTTCAGCACTTCTTTCAGGTTGTTCTCTTTATGGCTGATAGGATGCTGTGACGGGCCAGTGTGTTTAACAACAGCATTAAAACCGCTTTTCCCATCAGCTGTGTAATCAACAATTCTCACAGAACCATCTGGCTCTAAAACCGAATAGTGGCCTCTCACGATATCGCCATCTTTCTTTTCCCATTGATGTTTCACATCTCCCGTATGCAAGTCCTTGACGCCGTAGCTGAAACTGTAGTCAGCTGACGGTTTCTGCAAGAATGTGAAAGCTTAACATCTGGATGGGTGTTAGTTTCGGAGAAATTTATGTTTCAAGTACATTTTCTTCGAGTAATTGGAGCAGAATACCATTTCGCAAGAAATTTTAACAGTTGCGTAATAACAAATGTATGGTAATTATTGGAGTACTTACGTACTCGTGCGCAGGAGCGTAATTATGTAAGGCAAGGCCTTTGCTGCTCGAGAGAGTCAACAAGACGAGAAAAAGCAACTTCTGAAAAAAATTAATTAGATTAATAAAATTGAAAGAAAAAGTTGAGTGAAATTTTACAATTGTTGTCATTGTTTGCAGAATTTAATTGGATGAAATTTCAGTGAATTGTTCTTACCTTGACTTGAAAGTAATTTAAATATACAAAATATACAAAATTTTAAAAATGGTAGTTGGTACATACAATAATTTGAAACGTTTAAAAATTTTGTTTCAGGAGATTTTAATGATAGATAAAAACAAAAAATTGACAAAAATTTGGTTATTGTGGGAGATTTCAATGAAAACAGAGAGCACAAACCTGGGAGACTTTAACGTTAGGCTAGAACACAAAAAATTAAAAAGCTTCAGTGAAAGATAAGATGTAGTAACTATTATTTTTAAATAAATCAATAATTAAAAATCGAATTTCCACTTTGGGAGAAAATTCCACGGACAAATATAGCACGAGTTTCTCTTGTTTCACTCGTGACTCCCATAACCAAACAAAAAGCTACTTAAAACCAACTAAATGCAAATTTTTCAGATAACAATCTAGTTTAGCAGGAAACAGTGTCAATGTAAATCAAATTAAATTGTAGTAAAATTGCGCAAAAACCAATAATTGTGAGCTTTTATTTATGATTGAGCGCTTTTCCTGCTGCACCAACACACCCACCTGCCATATCCACATCGCGTTCAAGTTCAAGTTCGAGTAAAACGCTCACGCAAGTACTTTCACGGACTAGTCTTGGGTGAATCTTGTCGTTTATTTATAACATTTTTAAGAACATCCCTACCAGAAAGTTGCAAGTTCCGGATTTGAGGCCAAAATCGCACCCTGGCCATATGACAAATACCCTCGAGGATTAATTAGTTTAATTCAGTGTTAGCCCAATTTCAAGCTTTGTTATATCAATAGTTAATTTTGTACAGCAGGAAATTTACATTGTGTTTTGCGCTTTATCTGGTATAGAAATCGCCAGTTAATGGATAAAGAGAGTCCCATTTCTCTTACTTTGTGGGTCAATTTTGACCAAATATGTCGGGAAAAGTTCAGCCGGAATTTTCCGGTAGAAATTTTACAAGCAGGAATTATCTAATAGTCGAAATGTTATGAAAAAGTAATGTAATGTTTTCGCACTTTCTAATATTATTGATGTGATTGCTGAAAAATGCGCCATTAACAAAGTGCTTCCTAATATTCGGGCAATTCGTGTAAAAATTTGCAGGAAATTGCGGTTTTAAGTGATTTTAACGCTTAATTTGAAAAGAAACTCAGGGACTTGAACGCTAGATGTTAAAACTTGCATTGAGTTTAATCGATTTTAGATCTCTCTCAAGACCTACAAAACAAAGTAGTAAATTTCACTCAGACCGGTGAAAAATCACTTCTTTCAGGTGACATCTGGAAAACCAGTTTTAAAAACAAATTTTCAGTTTTTCAGTTTCGACATTTAAAAAGTGCGCCATCTTGTAAATATCGCCGCAACTAAGTTGTTTGAAGAAACAAGCAATAAAACAGGAATCGTTAATTGTAACTTAAAACACTTTGCAGGAATTGCAGTCTTGGCTTCTGCCACATAGATGGTGCTCGTGCAGCTCCTCTCATTTGTTATTGTTTTTAGTAATAACAGTGCGCCAACTGTGTAATTATTCCTTCCACTTCCGCTTCTTGTACAACATCTTACGATTACATTAATGCAAATTGTGGTCAATTTTCAGGTTTTTATTACTTTTGTAACGCATGAAGTGCGTTAAAAAACAACAAATTATTCAAAAAAACTGAGATAAGATCATCATCATTTCTTAACAATAAAATTGAGGCCATTTGAAACCACCCAAACCTGACCTGAGATAATTCTTGAACACTGAAACTTTTATTTTATTACAACATTAAATCCAGAAAGACATTACTTATATAAAACGCCCAGTTATGTAAATTTTTACATCTTGTAAAAAGATAATTGTTGTGTTTACAAAAAAATCGACATCCTGCTGAAGCGTCAGAGACAGATTCTGAGCCTTCGAGGCAGTCTTTACGACCTGAAAAAGTCAATTAGTCGGTAATTGATTTCCGCGTGCTTTAAACTACTTGTCGCATCGAGTTACGAAGCAGATTAAAAAGTCATTAATTATGTTAAAGACATTACCATTGAAGAGGTAATTAGAAGAAATTTGGTTTGTAGAGAGGACACGTAAATCATATTTTGTTTATTAGCCTTGAATCTGAGATGTTTATGCAAAAAAGTCGGTGATTTCAATGCTAAATCGAGAAAAAAACTGGCGATTTCAACGCTAGATTCAGACAGAAACTTGAAGATTTTAATGCTTGATCACGTGGAGACTTCAATGATAGGTGCAGATGCGAAAACAAAGAACGTTTATTTCTTTCAATAAAGATAAATAATCTAGTGACAATATAAGCGTCGTAAAAAGGCAAAGTGTTGGCAGAATGTCGTAGACTTTATCACGCTCTGTATTTAAATAAAATTATAGCGGTAAAAGAAGTTGCGAAAGTTAAAATTTATTTTCCTGAAACGAAATAAATCAATTCGAATTATTCCAATCAAAAATTATTAAAATCTGGTCAAAGTTTTGTCAGTGCTGAAATTATAAATTCAATAACCGTCATAAATAATTCATTCGTTTCAGTATCTCCAAATCAAACTTGAAATAATTAAGGAATATACAATAAGTCATAATCCGGGTGTGGCGCGTTATTTTCAGTAGTTCACAAGGTCAACCAGTGGCGTACAATAGCCCATCGATCATGGGTGGGTTTAGCTCCCAAAGGTCGTCACCAAATGTACCAATTATCCTGTCTGCATAAAATTTGTCAACACACCTACGCATACACACAGTGACGCAATAATTAAATAAAATCCAGTTTATTTGTACAAAAAAGGGACAATCAGTCTTTGATCATTCCGGTAGGTTTGGGTAGGTTTTTCCGGGGTGGTAAAGCTCATTGCTGATGACCGCCACCGGCTTGGCATGGGTAAACGGGTGTCGGAAGTCTTCGGGAAACTTCAGGTGGTTCAGAATGGGGTAACCTGAAAAAGTCCACTATTGGGTAACCCAAAAGGTCACTTGACATAATGCTCAAAATGAGGTTTTAAAATGTCATCGCGGGCCACGCCCGCTTTCATAATTTTCAGTACCTGTCGGAGGCTTCCTGAAGGTCACCACGGCTCTGAAACCGGCTTTTCCGTTGACTTGGTACTCCACAACCCGGATTTTTCCGTCGGCTTCCAGGAAACTGTACGAGCCGTGGACGATATCCGAGCGTCGTTCTTCCCAATGTTGCGTCACGACGCGCGCTTCGTCAATCGCATACCTGAACGTATATGAGACCTGAAAATTTTTTTGATACCGTTTTGCTCCTGCTGAGTTGCGCCATTACCTCATTAAGTCCGTTGCAACATCGGTTATCCACGGATACGATTGTTAACAGAACAATGCCCTGAAAGGTAATAAATGCTCACTATGGTTTCAGTAATCAATGAGTTTGGCTCAAACTGAAAAGCGTGAGCGAGATTAGAGCGGAGGCAAGCGAAATTACTGTAATTTTTGACAAGATATTAGAAATTTTAACGAGCAGTTCAACTCGTGTTGAAAAATGCATCGCGGAAACTTGAACGATCAATAAAAATTTGCCACCGGGGATTTCAATGTTAGATAAGTGCAAATTCAACTGTGAATAATTTAAGTATTAGGAATTTTGATTTTTCACTGTTTACAATGTTTTCAGACATTTAATAACGACTTTAATTGAAAAACAAACCGTTTTCAGACAAGTTTCTAATCATTTACCTCAATTACAACTACTAATTTTCATATTAATTGCCAAATTAGAGAGAAATTAAACTATTTACGTTTTTGACGAAAAATTGGAGACATTAATGAGCAATCAGAACATAAATATTAATGATAAGTGAGACACTAATCTGTAGGCTTTAACGCTGAATCAAAACACATTTTTTATAAAACAAATTTTTATCAGTTTTTTCAGAATTTTCTGTAATGTCATTTTCAATTAACATTTTTTAATAAACAGAATCCTTAAATAATAAATTTTTTTTTTTGAAAAACTGCATTGTATTGTATGATTCAAACGATTCAAGAGAGTTTTCATGCCAAGAACTAAAATAGTTTTTTTTTTGTTTTTAAAATGTCTTACTCTTTATTCCTAATTTCAATGGAATTTTATTTTTGAAGTAATAGATTAAATTGGAGATTTCAACGTTTAATTTTTTTAATTTTGATTAAATAGACAGAATTTTTGTATCTATAATACGATATTTTTAGGTAAAACTAAGCTTTGAAGCTTAGAAAAACTAAAAACTGTAATAAGAAATTAATTAAAAATAAAAAAATGCACACTACTTTCTTAAATTAACTTATTTTTTGTTTCGAAAATCTATAAGCACCGGGATATCTTGGAATCCAGCGTTTCAGGCACAAAATTAAAAATGTGGAGACTTCAGTATACTAAAACTGAAAATTTCAACGAAAACACAACAATAAAAAAATGTTATCTTTACTTATTTTTTCAAAATCTAATTTAAATGTAGCACTTTTCACTTTTATCAAATAATAATGTTTTTGGCTTATTTTTTTAACAAAAAAAATGTATTGAGTAAAAAATAAAAAATCTAATAGGGACTTTATTTGTGGATGAGGATATAAAAACTGGAAGAAATTTTAACAAAACATTAAAACACAAAATATAAAGTATGTAAATATTTAAAAATCACAAGTTGAGAAAAACAAAGAAAAAATTATAAATCGCATCTAAAAACTAAAAGAGAAATTAAAACGCAAAATTTATTTATTCTACAAAGATTTTAGGCTGCGATAAAAACACAAATATAAAAAAACTTATTCTTATCAGACTTGTTATGTTAATATTTCTAAGGTTATTTTTAACAAAGCTGACTTTGAAATGTTTCACTTGCCCTTGATAAGACTTTAGGATACAAAAACTACAATTTTTTATTTTAAATTTTATTCAAATATTTTTTTTAAATAAAATAATTAAGATTAGTAGAGAGTCTATAACGATCAGTAACAATATAAATTAGAAATTTCAACGTTTAAAGCTAAGCTTTAAAGCTTAGAAAGCACAAAAAGCAAAACTTTAACAAAACATTGACTGAAAATAAAAAAATCAGTGGAGATTTTAACACTTAATAAAAATACGAAACTGAAACACAATATTTATCAATTTTTTTTTAATTTTCATCAAATTTGCAAAACGAAATTTGCAATGTCTCACTTTTCATTTTTATCACAAACTAAAACATTGCCATTTACAAATTTTAATTTTTTAATCGAAAAAACAAGATTAACAAAGACTTTAACGACCAGTCACGAAACAAACTGGAAATTTCAACGCTCAATTGTATTTTAACAATAAAACAAATTTTTATCATTGGGAAGGTTATTGGTACAATACCAATGTCCCACTTTTATTTTTTATCAAATAAATATTTCAATGTGTGGAAACTTAGAGCTACAACCGGAGACTTTAACGTTACATCAAGATGGAAAAATAAAAAAAATGGTGTCGGTGCATGCCATCGATAAGCCGTCACTAACCCCTTTCGCAACGGCCTACTTTTCCTCGTCAGTTGACAAAACAAAACCCTCGTTATTTGGTGATGATCGTGTGTGCGATCACCATCTTAGATCCAGTTTCGTGACTAAGAATTGCATAATCGTCGATTTATCGATTCTTCGCACCAACTTGGAGTTTTTGTCAACGACCTCTCATCCATGTGCAACATGTTTTAATACGTTACGTGACTACAAAGCCAGCCTTGTAATTAGATAAATTATACTTTGCGACAACAATGCATTAAGCCAATTAATTGTCCGTCAGTCGTGTTGTCAACAATTAGAGATAATTTCAAGGCGCTCTCTGAGTAATTACACTCGAGATTTTTTCCAAAACCGCAAAATTTAAGAAAGTGTTAATTACAAGTTTTTATTCGGTTTCATTCATTATCGAAATGGCAACTGTCGGCCCTGAACTTGCAAAAATGCGGACATAACCGATTTAGGTCTGATTAGGTGAGGTGTGACCTGATCTAGGCCATCGGTGCATGTAAACAAACTGGCCATAATTACGCAACCACTAAGATGAGAAAAATATGCTGAAAATCCTGAAATGAAACATCCCACATTGTATGGGAGACGATTTTTGTTAAGGTAGGATTTTTTACGCTTTCTAAATTATTATCGCGTTATTTATGGGCGGCGAGATATTTTTCTTAATTGCAGTGTTGTCAAAGAAAGTAAATACGAAACTGAAATTTTTATTGTAATTTCAGTCGACAAGATATAATTCGGGGCGGCCTCCAAAGTAATGACAGTGGTCGAATATGACCTAAGAGAGTTGTAAAAGTACAAATTTGCATCAAAAAATGTTTTAACTCAAGAATTAGAGCACAGAATGGACAATAAAAACAAATTGCGTTTTTCACTGAAAAACTACAAAGCTGAAAAGTATACAAATCGGTTTTTTCAAATTTACTTTTATCTTTCGGAGTGTCTCGGAAGCGTTTCAGGCAAAAATTACGACGTACAAAAAATTAAAATTTTAACGAGAAATTACAACAAATCTTTTTCAAAAAATACAATTTTATGAAATTTTTTCAAGCAAAAACAGAAATGCTAATAGGAACTTTAAAAAAAAAATTGATTGGGACTATTTAAAACGCTGAAAAGAATTAGAACAGAGAATGGACGAAAAAAGTACACAAAACGGCTTTTTCAAATTAACTTATTCGTCGTTTCGAAAATCTACCAAGCCTTTCAGACACAAAATGTAG